AATGGTGCAAGCGAAATGCTCTGAAATATCAGAATACGTGACCTGAATATTGATTCCACAAATCCAGAACTGTCAAATGAAGAGTGGGTTTGCGGCAGAATGGGAGTTCTTCTATGCGAAAACTTTTATCGCTTGCATTTCAAGCATAGGATTCTGTCAGATCAACTGCAACTGTTTCGCAATACAACAGGGTCAGCATTGCTAAACAACAGCAAGTGCATCCCACCGATGTTGCTTCACTACAGAGAAAAAAAATAGAAGATAAGGAAATCAAATGTTTGGGAGGGGGGACACTCCAAAACACAGATGTTGCTTTATCCCTTCCAAACCATCCCTATTTCGTCAACCCCGAGCCTCATTTGTCAAGACTGGATGAAAATGACAAAAGGACTTCGCATTTCACTCGATGCTTATGAAAATAGCCTCTTACTGCTGAGCCCGGGTTTTGCGAAATAGGTATTGTTCGTCTGGAAGCGATAACTTTTCCAAACAGGTTTTACCAGTTAACTAAATGGCACCACTTTTTGCTACTTTAATAATACTTAGAGCTGGAATGAAAGCAACAATAACGAATGAACGACAACACAAGCGAGAAGGAAAATGAAATGCTTCGAGCTGACAAAGCGGGAACACCGGCACATGACTACAGACGAACAGAAACGAAATCCACTGCATCCCTGCACAGAGTTAGAAGCAGAGCAGTTGGGTTGCGACTAGAGAACGCGGCTGGACAGAGACGCAGACGACCAAGGGGACGCAAGGTCGAATTGGCAGGTGGACGAGGAGCACTTGTCGCCTGCAATACTTTGGTGAATTCGAAAATTGGCTTCCATACGGTCATTGATTGATGGCTGCAAACGAGAGGATGGTGGCGAGAAAGTGCGTGGGTAGTACGGTCTTGCTCGCTGCAGATGATGGGGGTGTCAGAATGGATGGGTTTGGCGCGATGCCAAACCCGTTTCCCACAAATTGTTGAAGTGAGCAAGTGAAAAACTGTATCGTATCGTTCGTATCAGTCGCTTTTCACCAACAGTAGCCGCTTTCTTGCAATAGCAACTGGTGGAGAATGACTTGGCGGTATGCCAAATACAGCCTCGCTGACACGCCCCATCATCCACAGCGAACAAGACTGCATTACCTCCCTTTCAAATGGTCAAGCTTTATGATGGTAACGTAAGGTTATGTGGACGTGCGGGATTGTTGAGTGATAATTATGATCCTTCAAGGTACTGTTTGTTACCCTATCTTCAGGGGTGCAGAACATTTAGTAGTTCGGTCGCTTCAACGCGCACGAAAACTTTCCAAACGCAGCAACAGCTTTTTTTAGCCTTTTCTTGCATATTCTGATCTTCTTAATATTCAAAATAGATCATTCCCTTAGGAAAAAAAATAGTTAAGACGTCCAGTCATGACCTATTTAAAAGATACGCCCCGTGACGGAGTGTGGATTGGAGCGCTCCAAGGCGGCCTTTTCAACCAGTCATGCCAATCCAAGTCCACAACAATTGACTGGAAAGGCTGTCCTATCTCCGCCCAATTTACGCCTCTTCACACGCCCTCGTTTGTGGTAATGATGATTACACACAGAAATAAGTCTGGAAGGAAAACTTTTGCGGTGTTTGATGCGAAGATGCGCCCCTGTACATACATACATAGATGCGCTTTATACCTTAGGAGTTCGACTACTTATCTGTATTTTTTACTACACTCCTTATCCCTGAGCCAGAGTAGGCGTGGCATTTGAACATGGCACTGGTTACTCGTGGAATATTCCAGTCTGGGACAACTGTCATCTTGTTCTGTGTTGGACAGAGACACGACAACAATTGTGTCAAGATGAAAATATCTCACCAGAAGCATAGACACCTTCAGGTTAAGTTGAAACATGAGGGGCCACGCCTATGTACCCGATCTCAGGGATTCGAGTCTACATCCAACCAAAGGAGTACTCGAGCTAATGCCGTTTGGACGCACGCAATTTTGGCAGCGAGCTCATTTATAAAGTGCCAAGATCACCAAATCCGCTGAAAACTTGTATATGGGTAATTTAACATCCTGATTACGAATATGACACTCATTCTTGGCGCTGGCGCCAAGAGAGGACACTACGATTACCTACTGGTCTACTGGGCTCAGCCTTAGGATCGCGCAGATAGTCGTAGTGTCATCCATTAGCGCCAGCGCGAAGAATAAATGTCATATCCGTAATCAGGATGTTGAATTACCTCTACATACAAGTTTTTAGCGGATTTGGTGAATTAGGCAGTTTAAAAATGAGCTCGGTGCCCAAATGCGTGCGTCCAAAACGGCATTAGCCGAGTACTCGAACACATTCAATTATCATGTACGCCCATGAGCAACAAGAAAAAAACTATTGTATGAATTGCAAATGGCTTGAGGGTTCATAGTGAATATATGAACTTGAAGATGGCGTTCTCATCGCAAAACGAAGAGTTTCAGCAAGGTGTGTGCTCATACGAGAAGTTGGTGGGGTCCTGCTCTGGCGAGATCCTGTTCCTTCCTTCAAATTGCTGGATAGTAGGTGGACATACACAGCAAGTTCTAGTACTTTTCAAGTGTAACGTCACCTGATATTGAAAGACATCTAAGGGCTCGTCAGCATTCTTCCGTGGCTGTTTTACCTACATTCCTTATCACCTAAGTTAGTCGGGGCATGTCAGCTGCGCGTGAGCCTTGGCGTGACGTCAGCCCCTTTCCCACCTATCACTGAACGACCAAACCGCATTGATCGATGGAAAACAGGCTAGGGCCGACCCGAAAACTAAGTCGTCTAACGATAAGCCGACTTCAGGTATCGTCTCACTGGACTTACGGCATACTGTGATAAAAGAATGGCAGCGCACTGTCTGCAGTCTGCGACCATTCCATGCTACTTTGCGTCAAAATATTGTTATTTTGAGCTAATTTTTTTCTTGTGCCGTTCAATTGGATGTCTTCCAGTCTGGTTCCTCTGCCCGCAGTGATATTACTACTTACATTTGGATTCTTGTGTCAAACCTGCAATTGATTTCGTGGCTTTATTCACCGGGTGTAAAAGCTGTCAAATCTCGAACTATCAACTCATCATTCCTTTTGTACTCAATATTTTGACCTAACAGAGAGGATAGGTGTGAATTTAATGGAATATGAAGGGATCGTGTACACTCCCCTTTGCTCTTTCTGTAGTGGTTTGGTTTTCCAATATTTCAGCTCTAGTTGTGTAATAAAATGTCACAATCGTTTCTGTTACACAAGATTTCTTTAACTTTTTGTGCTCAGAGAGCGTGTGTATCAATTTTAATGGGTGGCAGTGTTCAGCGGCCAAATCAAAATATTGCGCTAATAATGTCGAACCATGTTCCTGAGAGTACTTCGAAAGAAAACGTTTTTATGAAGCTAATAAGTGCCTGCATACTACATAGTCGTTAATCACGCGGCCTCTTTCAGTGGCTGGTACTCAATTGAGTGGCATGAGTTTATTGAAAACTCGTGTTTCCTCAGTGTGCCAATTGCGCAGCCTTCTGCGGCCGCCAACGAACCTACCTTTTCGCGGAATATACAGGTATCTATTCCTAGTAGTTTAAGTGGCATCTTTTCTTTATATTTTTCTGGGGTACGACAACCGTTATTATTTGTATATATTGCTTTGCTTGTAGGACGGAGGGCGAAACCGTTCGGAAAGACGATATTCTAGTTTGTCAGGGTAAAATGAACTATCATCCTGGGCTTAATGTGAGTCCACTTGTTTTTTTCACCTTTTTTTTCTCGCTGGCAAATTGAGTTTTCGAATTTGTTTGGACTACTTCTATGTTTACCACTGAAATATTTCGTTAATAGTTCATTGTACTTTGAACTTTCCGAGAACAACTGTTTCACAGGGATTGTGAAATCACCTAGATCTTAGATTCTCGAATACTGGCTCTACAGACACTCAAGATTCCGGGGGGGGGGGTGGGCTTGGCTGCGCACTCAATTCAAGCATGGCAAGGGATGCGTTTCTTGTGGGATGTTTCCAGCACCGAGAGCGCAGGCACCAACACGTCCACAGAAGGCGGCCAAGCCTTCTTCATTGAAGGGATATATAATGTGTACGCTGTGGGTAAAATATTCGAAACACCCTGAAATCATTTTCCCAGTTTTGCTTGCGCCACTCGTGGTACTGGCAGTTGTCATTTTTGAGGCAAATCGGCTAGAGGGGCGTAGGTCGCCTGAAGTACTCCCCAGCAGTCCCATTTTCTTTTGGGAGGAGGGGGGGGGGTTGTACTTCAAAAGACTTCCCTCCTTGACCGAGCAAGCACGCTTTTATTGTATGATCAAGTGCTGTAAGATCTCTACTTCGTTCTGTGTTATACAGTCTGAGATGACGGAAGAGGACCACGACTCATCCTCTAAATTGTCGGCTATGATGAAAAGACTTCCACTGTTTCTTTATCCTAGGACTTTGACGGTTTGGGACCAAAATTGAACATAAGCTCTTTTAAAGGGAAGCAATTGATGTTCTAGCAATCTACTTCTTATCACCACGTCAGAGTTGAACATTTTGATTCCAGGTATACTTCGAAGCTGATCGGAGTGAAAAGGTGCTGAGATCTGCATGTGACGGCGTTGTTCGGATAACTACGGAGAAAATAAATCCAGATTTGACGAATCCTGAAATGACAGTTTATGAATATAAGAAGCATTTAGAGTTGCGGAAGCTTACTTTCAATGTTATACCATTTGAAATGTCTCAGACATTTAACCTTGTTAGTGAAATATAGTTAATTGTTCATAATTCTTGTTGTTTTTTTGCAAATGAAGGCTCCAAAAATGGATGACGGTCTGCTGAACTTATACGTTGCTGCTTCCGAAACAGTTACCTACATATTACTGTTTTTGCCATCCACTTTGATGATTTTCTGCTGTTAGCTGAATGACATTTTGAATATTTTGGGTTTAGCTGTGTGTCGTTAAATGGAGAGAAACTGTGAAGGACCGAATTTAAAAAGAGGTGCCTATTTGTCTTTTGCTGATTTCCATAGTATTTATTTGAGTTCCTATCATGATTGTTTCAGACGTCGATCGTATCTTAGAGTTGATAGAGCACGTTCAAAGCACGGGAGAAGTGAACACACCTGAGCTTGCTTCACTCCAAAGAGTTCTGAAGTCGGATTTCTTCGGTGCCGTGCGCGAAGTCTATGAAACGCTTTACGAGACTGTGGACGTCGAGGGACCACCAGAGGTTTCTTTTCCTAGTAATCCAAACTATTTCTTATTGAAGAGGAATCAGTCTCGTCCGTCTTCTTAAGGTGCGGGCCTCTGCTACTGCAAAGGCAACCGTGGCCGCGTTCGCCGCAGCTGAAGGACAAGCTCATCCCCGTACAGTCGAGTTGCCGAAAACTGATCAAGGCTTGGGATTCAACGTTATGGGTGGAAAGGAGCAAAACTCTCCTATTTACATATCGAGGTTCTGTTGCTGTTTGTCTTACAGATGTTTCATAATATTTTCCTATGAAAAATTTCTTTTTTTATGGAAAGAGTCGTTTGCAGAATCATACCGGGTGGCGTTGCCGATCGTCACGGTGGCTTAAGAAGAGGAGATCAGCTGATTGCCGTGAATGGAGTGGTAAGGTTTTCGTGTTACTTTCTCGATTTGAGCGCTTATCGCACGAAACAGAACATTGAGCTCGAAAAACTGGAGGCCTAAATGAGATCTATTACGAATTCAAGAGAATGTTCATCACAAAAATGCTGAGTTACGAGTAAAAGTCTGACTTCAGGCGGGACTAGACCCGCACCTTTGCTTTCCGGTCAAATGTGCTATCCGCTACGCGACTAACGCCGCAGTTACCCTCTCAGTTTAAAGGCAGTTGGCACGATAAATCCCCCAAGACGAGTAGGATTAATACACCTGGCAGGACGGCCGCGACCCTGAGCAGGCGCTTATAGCGCCTTTCCCAAGGAAGGTGCCTTAAGGGCCCTATCAAGCCACAACATTACGACCCAAACGCCCGCCACGCCCGCCCGCCCACAAATGGACGACCGTTCCTGACGCTCGTATTCATTCATTTGCTAAGCAAATTATGAAGCGAAGGGATTGGTATGAAGCGGCCGTGATGCTGCATGGATATATGAGTACACATATGCAGCCGTACCTTCGGTAGCGGTTATTGGCAAGATGCCTACGGGAAACTCGTCCAAAATCGATTTTCAAGTCATTGAGAACGGAGGCTCTTTCTTCGCAGGATTTTGACCGTTTCACTCCGTTCTTTCGCCATTTCCCCACTATATAGCGCCCTACTAGCATTTTAGGCCGAGCACCAAATCATCGTGCCAACTGCCTTTAACGGCTTTTTATGACGTAGCTTTACAGCGCTCACGCCTTCAATATGGTGAGCCGGTCAGTAGTAAGTGTCAAATATCGGCAATGAACCGCGAGGCTGTAGGTTTTACAAGTTTTTGAAAATGTTTTATTATGATGTCCATAAGGTGTGAAGTTCTGCTTCTGCTCACAAGTCAGCATTGTTGTGATAATTTTCGGAGCGCGAATTGCGACGTTAAATAGGTGTTATTATAACAAAGCAAGGGGAAGTGTTCTGCTCGTTTGAATTGTGATATTGGGCATTATGACGTCATGGAATTTTCTATTTGCGAATTTCATCTGGAATTTGAGGCATGGCAGCTAAGTCGGATGTTATTCGGGTAATCATAGGGAGAGTGCGTTCTTCCTTTGCGTCAGCTTTTTAGGTGTCTAGGAAAGCACGAAAGTATCTGTACATTCCAAGTCGCTAAGAAGCTGACGTACACTCAAAACGCTGACACAAAATGAGCGCTCTCACACTGTTCGACTTGGTTATTACTCGTTTTCCTATCCAATACCTTCTGGAAGACCGCAATTAGTGGAAGTTGAAAACTAGAGTCTATTGTTAGTATAATAGCACTTCCTCGGTTCTTAGCAAAGAGGAGAGGTGTTACGGTAGAGTATACTACTGATAGGAATAAAGAGCGTATCAGGGAAGATCCAGAGAAAAGCTTATTACCGTAGCTCAACGGTAATAAGCTTTTCTCTGGATCTTCCCTGATATCTTCCCCGCTCTTTATCCGTTCTCAAGAGAGATCTTAGGGCCAGGGGGTATCTGAGCTGCAGAATGATGTGGCGAAAGGATACAGAAGACAGCATCAACAGGTAAGATGGGTTAGAAACCTGACTTTACCTTCATGATACCGTAGGCATCAGTTTTGGGTAACGGGTCCCGAAGCTGAAATAAAACAATGTGATTGTAGAATGTGGAAAGCGAATGTCATGAGAGAGCTGTGGACCTATTGAAATCCGCCCAAGGGACGGTACGACTTGTTGTTCGTTATACACCACGTCTACTGGATGAAATGGAGCGGTCAGTTGCAATTCATATGTCGTTAACATCGTAATCCCTACATTACATTTTATTTTCTGATCAGTTTTATTTAACTTGAGTTCCTTGGAGAGATGTTCGTGAAGTAAGAGGTTGACAGAAAGGATAGGTAAAGTGGATATATCAAGTTACATAATGAAGACTTCCCAGTTGAGGGACCGCAAGAAGTCTTATACCGCACCCAGGCTTCGCTTTCGCACAATCGGACCGCGAGAATTGAGTCTGCCAATAAAATGAAATAAAAATGTGATTTTTAGGAAATTCATTGCATTTTGTTTCAAAGTCCAAAATTTTAAATTTCACTCTGAAGGCTGAATATTTTATTATTTAATTGAAATTATGAAGGGGGGGGGGGTCAGTTCAAAGAAGTAGCTCAGTTTAGCGCGCACGTGCCCTTAGACGGAAACTGAACGAGGTCATTCTCCCTCCTCTGTGCTCTTCAGTAAGGGAACGAGAGAAAATTTGTTGTCAAAATTGATTTCATTGCCAATGTTAATATTTTTTTCTAATATATAAAACGTGAATTTAATAGCTTATATTTAAATTTTTTTGATTCAAGTTTTTAAAATTAATGCAGCCATGCAAAAAATGCAGACAGGAATGCAAGACAAGCAGAATGCAAACAGATTACAGTCGCAATCTGATCTCCCTTTTTGCAGGCGTTTTGAAGCGTCAACGGCGACGGCTTAACCGGTCCAATAGCCCTCAACCTGGACCATCTCTACCTTCCGTCGGGCGATAGCCACTTTAGAAAATTATTTGAAGGTGCTTGAATCTGTTGACTACCTACGTGTTGCGGTTTTTATGGTGCGTTTTGCGATTTTTTAATTCTGGCATAATTCCAGATGAGTGAGTGGCTTTACTTTAGCTTTATATCGGTGCTATTCTCTACTGCCTATTCTTCCTCCCGTGTCAAAATGAAGCTTTGCACTATTAGCGCGTTTTTTTAACTCTAGGAGCGTTTTACCTTTTATTTCTCGAATGAAAAAAACTGGTGCTACTGTAGTTGAGGGGGAATGGCGAGTGATGGAACGGCGAAGTCAGTTGATCTCCTGCCAAGCTAAGGCTTGTGAGAGCGCAGACGAACAGAGGTAGCGCATGACCGCTTCCACGCCTCGCCTCCTTCCACTACAGCACCGCGATATTCAGTTTCTCCTTTGCTTATCGTTGAAGCTTGTTGCCTAAATTGCCAGCAAATCCCTTATTGCGGGTGCGTTACTTATAGTGCAATGTTTTCGAATTCTATGTGAAACACATGCTCGCCTTTGATTTGTAGATTTCCTCATCTACAGAATAGCCGAATTTGTAGATCAAAAATGTCATTTTGTTCCAGGCCCGATGCATTCCTCCAGCCTTTAGTTTTCCTCATTTTACTTTACTCAGGAATATTAGAAGGATAGGAGGTGTGTCAAAGTCCTAATATGTTCTGTTGGTGCATTGGACGTACTGTAGCCTTCTGAAATTGAAATGTTGGCGAGTTCGTAATTCTAGTGCATCCGATCTGAGTGCTCTTCATTGTTTTCACTTTAAACTTTGATTTTTTTTCTTTCCGTTCTATCACCATTTATGCAGCATAACCTTTTTTAAACGTACTACTGGCAAGTGTCTTTCAATCTCGTGAAGCGTGCTCGAATCTACAAACGCTATATTGCCATCAGTTTTCAATTTCCATTGTTCTACTTATTTCCACATTTCGACTTTGCATTTCGCCAGCCAAAGTTCTTTTGGATTATTGTGCTCATTTTCTAGTCTGCCAAATTGGCTTGGTCAGTGTTCACGGTGCAATAAATATAAGACAAGCAGAATTTGTGACGTTGAAAATT